ACACACACACACACACACACACACACACACAGAAGGGTCATGGTGTGTTTGGCCTCCCAGCAGGACTAGTTTCACACTGTTTCCGTCCAACAGGATGATTAATGTCGCTGCCATGGAGGAAAGGTCGGCTGTGAAGTGAGAGCCTTTCTGTGAGGATGAAATAATGGGGTGGAAACTCCTCTATGACGGATTAAAAAACCCAGCCGAGCAGATAGGAGCCGAGCTGCAGACGCTGCACTACAGGAGAGTTTATCTCAAGATGTTTGGTGCTTTCTGAACCATGTGTAAGGATTTATCTGTTGTGGAAAAATATGATATTAAAAGTCAATAGTCTGCTCGGACAGGATAAGGAAAAGCTAAAAAAAGACGAAACTGAACTGCATCCAGCAGCTAAAGCCTGATATATATTTATTTTCCACTGTTGTCCACTAAAGCTATGCACAAGCTCTGCAAATGCATTTTGCTTCTTCTTTTTCAGTCAATTTTCCCCGTATTTATCTCGTCAGACAAATCAAAGACACATAGGATCAGTGTGTGATGAATAATAAGGCTTTTCTGATGCGTATCTGACATTTAAAGACATCAGATTATTATTATTATTATTAGTATTATGAATGTTACAGGCTACTAGTCTACTTGTCTTTACTTGTTTTATTTAATACGTACGTAGCTCTCCTCCTTTCTGCTGTAAAAGTCTCCCTTTATGGGAAAATGAAGGATTTCTGTTTGTGAGAAGTGTCAAAAAGGGAATAAAGTGAACCTTGGCACAATAAAACCAGCCGAGTCGTAACTCTAACGTCTCTGGAGACAACAGTAAGTAATAAACAGTGATGGAAGTAAACAAACGTTAGAGGACACCTTGGCCTTTTTTCTTGCCGTTCAAAGAGCATTTACATGATATAGTCTGAGCACTATTCTGATTTATGCTCCGGGTTAACCTCAAAGCAGCAGAAAGACGATTCTTTTATAAATCCATCTTTTGTTCAATCCTTATCCACTGTACACGTCCAGTTTTAGTGTTATTTATATAAAAAGTACATAAAAATACCCCTATTTCCTTTATTTACTTCACTATAGCACAGGTTAGTTGAATACTCAATGCTGGTCAATCTGGACATTCCAGAGGTCTGTTATTTTCCGCTAGCAGACCGTTGCTAAGGAGAACAGACCGTTGCTAAGGAGAACAGACCGTCGCTAAGGAGAACAGACCGTTGCTAGGGAGAACAGACCGCTGCTAAGGAGAACAGACCCGTTGCTAAGGAGAACAGACCGTTGCTAGGGAGAACAGACCGTTACTAAGGAGAACAGGCCATTGCTAAGTAGAACAGACCGCTGCTAAGAAGAACAGACCGTTGCTATGGAAAACTGACCGTTGCTAAGAAGAACAGACCGTTGCTAGGCAGAACAGACCGTTACTAAGGATAACAGACCGTTGCTAAGGAGAACAGACTGTCGCTAAGGCTGTCGCTAAGGAGAACAGACCGTTACTAAGGAGAACAGACTGTTACTAAGGAGAACAGACCATTGCTAAGGAGAACAGACCATTGGTAAGGGAGGACTGTGTGCAGCGATATCAAACCGCAGAAATAAGTTCCGGTCAATTTAATACACAGGAAGTAAACAGTAAAAGGGATCAGCGTTAAAAATAGACATTAAGACATGTTTATTTTAGCCTTACAGGAATATATCGCCAAGCGAGGGCTTTGTGTGGAATGATGGGATATATTTGACTAAACGTAAGAAAGCTCCACCCTCTTTTGGACTGTCTAACAGTAATATAACGTCAGATAGTCCCTTTTTCACCCGCTAGAAAGAGCCATCAAATATAAAAGATGAGATCCAGGTAATAAAACAAGGTCTAATAAAAATCAATATCTGGATCAGAGCGTGCCGACTCCACTAAACTCCCAAATCATTGTCGAGTCACTTTCCACTTACTGTGACAAAAGCCGGCGCTCAATCTAATTCCACATTAAACTCAGCCTACAGAAAAAGGTACATTGGTGAAACGCTGAAAGCTAACGCTCCGTAATCACGCTGAGAAACCGTTAAAGAGGACGAGACGGGAGGAGAATCACAGATCCAGACAAGGAATAAGAAAGATGGATGATCACGGGTCGGTGTCGCTGGATCTAATTCATCCTGAGGAAGTTGGGACAAACACAGCTGATGCCTCCCATCTGGATGCATTTTCTGTTATAAGTGGACAGCTATATATTTAAGCATGCTCTCTCCCCGTCTTCTACCCTTCTTGTTGGGAACTGTTATATTAATATAAAGTAAACATGTTCAGTTTGGACAAGACTCGCTTTGTTCTTCAGTTGAAGCTTTTACACACGGCTTGAGCTTCAATCTCAGGATCCACGTATTTATTATCCTCTCAAGAATGGAAGTAGTCATCTCATACAGAGCATTTGTTGGCTTTTTTTCTGAAAATCTAAAAATTCAGATTTTTTTCCCCCAAATCTTACAAATCTGACTTTTTCTTAAAATTCTGACTTTTTCTCAAAATCTCAAAATTCGGACTTTTCTGAATACTTCAAAATGTTAATAATCCCTCGTCCCCGGCTTGAGCTTCAATCTCAGGATCCATGTATCTGTGATCCTCTCCAGAATGGAAGTAGTCATCACATACAGAGCATCAAGTAGTTCCTGAACAGTGTCCTTCACATGCTGATATCCAAGAGAGGGAGTTACACAGTCACAAGATGGAGGAATAGAAAGCAGTATTCAATGTTTACTTCAGATTAGCTCCACGTCAGAAATGAGCATGCTTGTCATATGTCTATCTCCATAGAGGCTGAATCATCATGTTAATCACATAGCTATCATATGCCTCAAACAGTCCTGATGCTCTTCTAGGTAATCAGACATCCTGTCATGTTCACAGCTACAGGTGGGATACCTTTGTTATCATGTTACTCTCATATTGGAGGAGGACATTCACTATCTTCCCAATAGTTACCTTCAGTGGGAACGCTGGTTGGTGATTGGGTGGTGGAGCCTGTCTCCCCCCCAGTCACCTCTCTGATCCTGGCTGTAGTTCTGGAGGAGGTGGAGGTGGTGAAGGGGTAGAGATGGGTGGTGTCCATGATGTCACACAGCTTGTCCTTAGTCTGTGAGAAGAGATGTGATGTGAGTTAGCTCCAACACACTGCTTACTGTTCGATTATTATATTTCATTAGCTTTATCTGCTGTATCTCACCTCATCTGGACAGCTGTTGTCCACCCAGTCCTGCCGATGGCGGTCAAATCCACTGGAGCATCTGAGGGGAGACGAGACACATATTTAGTCATATAGAAGAAGCTTAATATTCACCTTATTTAGCGCCAATACTTCTCCCACTTCTGGCTCAAAACGTCCTCTGATCTGAGGACATTTTAATAACTCTGTAGAGTCTTGTGGTGTAGATGCTCTGCTATGAAAAGCTCATGAGGACACTTTATAATAACTAGTTAACCAGAGACCAATTCAGATAACCAGAGACCAAGTCAGTTAACCAGAGACCAAGTCAGATAACCGGAGACCAAGTCAGTTAACCAGAGACAAAGTCAGTTAACCAAAGACCAAGTCAGTTAACAAGAGACCAAGTCAGATAACCAGAGACAAAGTCAGTTAACAAGAGACCAAGTCAGATAACCAGAGACCAAGTCAGTTAACCAGAGACCAAGTCAGATAACCAGAGACCAAGTCAGATAACCAGAGACCAAGTCAGATAACCAGAGACCAAGTCAGTTAACCAGAGACCAAGTCAGTTAACCAGAGACCAAGTCAGATAACCAGAGACCAAGTCAGATAACCAGATACCAAGTCAGTTAACCAGAGACCAAGTCAGTTAACCAGAGACCAAGTCAGATAACCAGAGACCAAGTCAGTTAACAAGAGACCAAGTCAGATAACCAGAGACCAAGTCAGTTAACCAGAGACCAAGTCAGATAACCAGAGACCAAGTCAGTTAAGCAGAGACCAAGTCAGTTAACAAGAGACCAAGTCAGATAACCAGAGACCAAGTCAGATAACCAGAGACCAAGTCAGATAACCAGAGACCAAGTCAGATAACCAGAGACCAAGTCAGTTAACCAGAGACCAAGTCAGATAACCAGAGACCAAGTCAGTTAACAAGAGACCAAGTCAGTTAACCAGAGACCAAGTCAGTTAACAAGAGACCAAGTCAGATAACCAGAGACCAAGTCAGTTAACAAGAGACCAAGTCAGTTAACCAGAGACCAAGTCAGTTAACAAGAGACCAAGTCAGATAACCAGAGACCAAGTCAGTTAACCAGAGACCAAGTCAGTTAAGCAGAGACCAAGTCAGTTAACAAGAGACCAAGTCAGATAACCAGAGACCAAGTCAGTTAAGCAGAGACCAAGTCAGTTAACAAGAGACCAAGTCAGTTAACCAGAGACCAAGTCAGATAACCAGAGACCAAGTCAGTTAACAAGACACCAAGTCAGATAACCAGAGACCAAGTCAGTTAACCAGAGACCAAGTCAGTTAAGCAGAGACCAAGTCAGTTAACAAGAGACCAAGTCAGTTAAGCAGAGACCAAGTCAGTTAACAAGAGACCAAGTCAGATAACCAGAGACCAAGTCAGATAACCAGAGACCAAGTCAGTTAACCAGAGACCAAGTCAGTTAAGCAGAGACCAAGTCAGTTAACAAGAGACCAAGTCAGTTAACCAGAGACCAAGTCAGATAACCAGAGACCAAGTCAGATAACCAGAGACCAAGTCAGATAACCAGAGACCAAGTCAGTTAACAAGACACCAAGTCAGATAACCAGAGACCAAGTCAGTTAACCAGAGACCAAGTCAGTTAAGCAGAGACCAAGTCAGTTAACAAGAGACCAAGTCAGTTAACCAGAGACCAAGTCAGATAACCAGATACCAAGTCAGTTTACCAGAGACCAAGTCAGATAACCAGAGTTATTATCTATCTGCAGACTATACCTTCCTCCTTAAAAGCCATGTATTGTCTCTGAGCTGCGTTACAATGCCCTTCAGATGTTGCCTTTGACTAAACAAACCTCTGTCTGAACACTAAAAGTTACCGGATGCAGATTTATTTCAGTATTTTTGAGAAAGTCAACATCCTGTGACCTCGTCAGAACCTCTCAGCTCATCGGGTCGTTCTCTCAGCGCCTCTCATTAACCCCCTGGTTTTAATTAGCGCCTGCTTTAAAGCGTGCTTCAAAGGAAGTGCAGGATACAAAGAGGGAGACATTAACACAGCGAGGAAGCTAATTAAAATGCAGCTTAATGAGATCAGTGCTCAAAGCATGCAGCGTCTCTCCATGATGTCGCTGAGGGGGAAACATGTGGACATACTGTTGGTTAGCTCGTCTCTGAAAGAGCATTTTCTGCTCATTTCTAAGGTTTAATATGAGCAGTGTGTGCCTCTGCTGTGACATGTGTGCCTCTGCTGTGACATGTGTGCCTCTGCTGTGACATGTGTGCCTCTGCTGTGACATGTCGGCCTCTGCTGTGACATGTGTGCCTCTGCTGTGACATGTGTGCCTCTGCTGTGACATGTTGGCCTCTGCTGTGACATGTCGGCCTCTGCTGTGACATGTGTGCCTCTGCTGTGACATGTCGGCCTCTGCTGTGACATGTGTGCCTCTGCTGTGACATGTCGGCCTCTGCTGTGACATGTTGGCCTCTGCTGTGACATGTGTGCCTCTGCTGTGACATGTCGGCCTCTGCTGTGACATGTGTGCCTCTGCTGTGACATGTTGGCCTCTGCTGTGACATGTGTGCCTCTGCTGTGACATGTCGGCCTCTGCTGTGACATGTTGGCCTCTGCTGTGACATGTGTGCCTCTGCTGTGACATGTGTGCCTCTGCTGTGACATGTGTGCCTCTACTGTGACATGTCGGCCTCTGCTGTGACATGTCGGCCTCTGCTGTGACATGTCGGCCTCTACTGTGACATGTCGGCCTCTGCTGTGACATGTCGGCCTCTGCTGTGACATGTCGGCCTCTGCTGTGACATGTCGGCCTCTGCTGTGACATGTCGGCTTCTGCTGTGACATGTCGGCCTCTGCTGTGACATGTCGGCCTCTGCTGTGACATGTCGGCCTCTGCTGTGACATGTCGGCCTCTGCTGTGACATGTCGGCCTCTGCTGTGACATGTCGGCCTCTACTGTGACATGTCGGCCTCTACTGTGACATGTGTGCCTCTGCTGTGACATGTCGGCCTCTGCTGTGACATGTCGGCCTCTGCTGTGACATGTCGGCCTCTGCTGTGACATGTCGGCCTCTACTGTGACATGTGTGCCTCTGCTGTGACATGTCGGCCTCTACTGTGACATGTCGGCCTCTACTGTGACATGTGTGCCTCTGCTGTGACATGTCGGCCTCTGCTGTGACATGTCGGCCTCTACTGTGACATGTCGGCCTCTGCTGTGACATGTGTGCCTCTGCTGTGACATGTGTGCCTCTGCTGTGACATGTCGGCCTCTGCTGTGACATGTCGGCCTCTGCTGTGACATGTCGGCCTCTACTGTGACATGTTGGCCTCTACTGTGACATGTCGGCCTCTACTGTGACATGTCGGCCTCTGCTGTGACATGTCGGCCTCTACTGTGACATGTCGGCCTCTACTGTGACATGTGTGCCTCTGCTGTGACATGTCGGCCTCTGCTGTGACATGTCGGCCTCTGCTGTGACATGTCGGCCTCTGCTGTGACATGTCGGCCTCTACTGTGACATGTGTGCCTCTGCTGTGACATGTCGGCCTCTACTGTGACATGTCGGCCTCTGCTGTGACATGTTGGCCTCTACTGTGACATGTCGGCCTCTACTGTGACATGTTGGACTCTACTGTGAATGTCGGCCTCTAGCTGTGACATGGTGCCTCTGCGGACCTGTCGGCCTCTGCTGTGACATGTCGGCCTCTGCTGTGACATGTCGGCCTCTGCTGTGACATGTCGGCCTCTACTGTGACATGTGTGCCTCTGCTGTGACATGTCGGCCTCTACTGTGACATGTGTGCCTCTGCTGTGACATGTCGGCCTCTGCTGTGACATGTCGGCCTCTACTGTGACATGTGTGCCTCTGCTGTGACATGTCGGCCTCTACTGTGACATGTCGGCCTCTACTGTGACATGTGTGCCTCTGCTGTGACATGTCGGCCTCTGCTGTGACATGTCGGCCTCTACTGTGACATGTCGGCCTCTACTGTGACATGTCGGCCTCTACTGTGACATGTGTGCCTCTGCTGTGACATGTCGGCCTCTGCTGTGACATGTCGGCCTCTACTGTGACATGTCGGCCTCTACTGTGACATGTCGGCCTCTGCTGTGACATGTCGGCCTCTACTGTGACATGTGTGCCTCTGCTGTGACATGTCGGCCTCTGCTGTGACATGTCGGCCTCTACTGTGACATGTCGGCCTCTGCTGTGACATGTCGGCCTCTGCTGTGACATGTGTGCCTCTGCTGTGACATGTCTGCTGTGACATGTCGGCTGTGACATGTCGGCCTCTGCTGTGACATGTTGGCCTCTGCTGTGACATGTCTGCTGTGACATGTCGGCTGTGACATGTTGGCCTCTGCTGTGACATGTTGGCCTCTGCTTTGACATGTCGGTCTCTGCTGTGACATGTCGGCCTCTGCTGTGACATGTCGGTCTCTGCTGTGACATGTCGGCCTCTGCTGTGACATGTCGGTCTCTGCTGTGACATGTCGGTCTCTGCTGTGACATGTCGGCCTCTGCTGTGACTTGTTGGCGTGCTTTAATGATCTTGTCTTTAAATGTCCAAAGATATCCATTTTAATATGGTATAAAACAGAGAAAAGCAGCATATCTCACTTAAAGGAGGCTGAAACATGTGTTTGTGTTCGAGATGTTTAAGTTCCTTTAATGGTTTTGCTAGAAAACAGTGATAAACGCCCTTAAAATCCTAAATATGTCAGAGAAAAACTTAAAATCTCCGCATTTTAGACATTTTTGCAAGATATATTACATGAATCAGTCATAAAACACTTGCTGATTTATTTATGTGGATTTCCAGGAGGTGAAAACAGGGATTTTAGGGTTTGCGGACCATTTACATGCACTCAAACCAGAACACATCCTAAAAAGCTGAATACTGTAGGGCCTCTTTAATGCAGGAAACGTGTAGAAATAGTTCAAATTCATCCCATTTTCCCTTTTGATATCAGAGTGACTCCACTTGGTCAGTATGAGACACACCTGGGAGCCACAGAGCGGCTTTATTCTCCATAAAGCCGTCTGATAGCGTCTCATTCAGTTCAACATGTATTCAGCTCACACCTGTTCAGTCAACCTCAGCTCCTCATCTCCTCCTCCCTGCAGAGCACTTCAAAGCAAAGATCATATTTGAGCAGCTAAAGAAGTGTTGGCGTTTCCCCGAGAACATCCTGACAGCTGGATGTTCTGATGTTCTGATGTTCTGATGTTCTGATGTTCTGTTGTTCTGTTGTTCTGTTGTTCTGTTGTTCTGATGTTCTGATGTTCTGATGTTCTGATGTTCTGTTGTTCTGTTGTTCTGTTGTTCTGATGTTCTGATGTTCTGATGTTCTGTTGTTCTGTTGTTCTGATGTTCTGTTGTTCTGATGTTCTGATGTTCTGATGTTCTGTTGTTCTGATGTTCTGATGTTCTGTTGTTCTGTTGTTCTGATGTTCTGATGTTCTGATGTTCTGATGTTCTGTTGTTCTGTTGTTCTGATGTTCTGATGTTCTGTTGTTCTGATGTTCTGATGTTCTGTTGTTCTGTTGTTCTGATGTTCTGATGTTCTGTTGTTCTGATGTTCTGATGGTGTGGGCTATCCCTCCAGAAGGTCAAAGGTTCTGTGTGCCCTGGAGCAATTAGGAAATCCACAGAAGAATAACCAACTCTTCAGAGAACTGATTTGTGCTAAAATGGAGAATCAATGCTTTTCTCTCAGTTTCAGATCAAGTGGATCTTTTCGGGGTTTGCACTGAGAAAGACATTTAAAGACATATCTTGGATGTTGAGACACTCTGATCGGCGTTTCTCACTCAAACCATTATAGGAACTTAAACATCTCAAAAACATACATATAAAGGGGCTTTGATCTAGGTGGCGCTGTTGAGCCATGTTGCCCCGTGCTAATCCTAATCTAAATACATTCTCACCAGGTTTCCACCTTTCCCAACATGTTTAGGCTCTGAAATGTGAGAGTCTTTTTCTGAGTGATCATGGTTCCCCTCTGGATTTCAATAGGGTGCTCCAACCCCACTTTAATGGTGCTTTTGACTCTAAAAACCAGCCCCACCTGTTGAGGCGATGGCACCAGCTGCAGTTGAAGTTGATCTGAGAGGAAATGCATTCTCCGCAGCTGGTGAACTGCAGACAGGCTGGAGAGGGGAGAGGAAACAGGTCACACGATCAATATGCTGGGAAACAAACGCTCTCATCCACAAATGACGTTATTTGCAGATCACAGAGTCCTGTTGTGAACGCTGAAATGTTGAATACCCTAAAGTTTTATGATAGAAATGTATAGTAGGGGTTCCTAACACATAGAAACTGCCGGATGATAACCTGCATATGTTGGGAAATGTGCACAATTCAGACACTAGTTAAACAATGGCTTGGCTGATTTGGATAGTTTCTGAGTGGTTTTGGGGGTTATTGAGAATGTTGAGTCAATTTCTGACATTTTCAGGGTCAAATATGACAGTTTTCACCAGAAAGAGGCCATATCTGTACTCTCAGTTGGAGGATTTTGATTAATTATGGGTCAATTTGGAAGATTTAGGGGACTCTGGATCATTTGAAATGGACAGATTGCTTATTTATTTGAAGAATAATTGTCCACAGTAGAGATAATAATGTTCATCTGGTCACACCACTACTCATGTTAGTCAAAATCAGTCCACATAGAGTACAAATACTGTATGGCTACTTTCTGGTTCAAACTGCAATTCTTTTATCCTGATAATTTCAGAAATGGATTCAGCATCCCCAATAACGCCCAAACCACTGAGAAACTGTCCAAATCGGCCTCACCTATTGTCCACATGCTATAATGCTAATTAATGCTAATTAACGCAAATTGTACTAATCACCCAACATACAGTATGCAGGTTAGCATCCGGCAGTTTCTATGTGCTGGAGACCCCCTCTATACATTTCTATCATAACACTTTAGGGTACTCAACATGTTCGGGGTTCAGATACTAAGGAATCTATTTATTAACACTAACGGCTTATAAAGTTGTTCATAGATATTATTTGACACCTGAAATCATTTAAAATGGGTTTAACTCAGGACAATACATGCTGGAAATGTAATAGAGAAGTGGGCACACAGAACGTCTGTTTCAATAAAGCCTCCTTACTGGCTAGAGGCATCATTTCCACGGCGGTGAAGTTGGTGATCTTCGTCTTCGTCAGCTCCACGCGATGATACTCGTAGATCGTCCTCCTTCTGACGTCTATATTAGAGGAGGGAGAAAGAGAAACAGAGGTAACAAACTGGGCCCTAAAGAAAGAGAGGAGGGCGCTCTTCTTCACTCAGACGTCAGCCCACTATCTGGAGACGGTAGCAATTTCCCCCGAGAGACGATACAAATCAGACCGTGAGGAAAAGAGCTGCCTTCCTATTATCTGTAGCAGCAAGTCATCAGCTGGGGAGACGGAGGGATTGATTGGACATATCATCGCTTTCTATAACTCAAAATGGCTTCAGTAAAAAGGGCTCTTACTATTCCACACATCTGCACCGCTATAGAGAGGCATCAAATACATATGAGTTAGAGTCAGAGAGGATGGTTTCTGTCACACCATTTTCTTGTCTGTCTTGACTTTTTACGGTTGAATATTCATACGTTCTGCATTTTATTCCACCCTGCTCTGCTCTCCATGTTGACGGTATCATGCCTAAACAGATCTGAGAGTAACTCTGAGTGTAATCTAAACCACGTTGGGTTTTTCTGGGGCCTTTCTCTGCAGGAGTGAGAGAGTAAAGGTGAAGTCACCGAGATGCTTGTGTTTGCTCGACCAATGAGCTACGGAATTGAAATTCAATACAGATGATCAGACAGTTGTTTTAAAGAGGACACATGCTGCAGATGTTCAGGTGTGTATCAGCATAGTGGCTCTCCTGTGATGTTTCCATGCTTTTCAGACCCTTTACACACACAGAAACTTATCGAACACAGTGAAGTGAAGGGAAGGGGAACCCCCCCAAACAGCAGAATAGGGACCCTTTAAAACCATTCAACTGAACTTGCCCCTCTCCCTTTCTCTCCTCGGTGGATTAAACCTGTGTGTGTTGTTCTTCTCATGTGACTGGATGTTGCTTCCATTACACACCAGACGTCTGATCAAAGCACCAAATGAGAGGCAGCACCCTGAGAGTAAAAGCTCCCTCTAGTGAAGGGATTATCTTTGCACTAATGACTCGATAGAGGTCACATGGAGGTCATCTGCCCGTCATGAAGCTATTGAAGTTGGGGTAGATTGTACAGTCTCTGGTGTGGAAGGAAACCATGAATTTAGACCCAACAGAACAGAAACAAAAGTCTTATTCAACCCGTTTTAAGATGTCCTTATATCAGAAATATGGGTTTCTTTCCTCTCATTGAAAGGTGCAGGTGTGTGGACCAAAGGTAGCATCTCCCTGGTTTGCCTCCACAAAAAGCTAATGGGATTTCTCCATGAGATTTGGGATTATTTCAGGACATTTCTGACATGTTCAGGGTACAGAAATACAGTTTAAACCAGAAAGTGGCCATGTGTTCTCTCCGTGGACTGATTCTGATGAATATATGGTGGATGTTGAAGATGAAGGGGACTCCGGATCATTTGGATTGGACAGAATGCTTATTTATTGGAAAGACAATTCTCCACGTTAGAGATAATAATGTTAATCTGGTGCTCTCTGTATCAAATGGTCCAACACTACTCATGTTAGTCAAACATCCGCCCACAGAGAGAACAGATCCACTCTCGGGTTAAACCTGACATTTATGATCCTGAAAAGGTCAGAAATGGATTCAGCATCCTCCTCAACATCCCCCAGAACCACTTCCAAATCAGTCGTTTATGATACTGACACGTATAGTAAGTAACTGGCTCTCACTGTAATGGATTAAACACTTTGGTAAATGTACCTTTGGGTTGTCTTCTGATCGACCAATGCAGACAAATCCAGCCATATCATATTTCCAAACACTAGGCATCATTTCTTCAGTTTGAAATGGTCCGCTGGGTTTGGCACTCAGGTTGGTCGTTGGCTCTGGTTTTAATTCCCAGCTATTGTTGCAGCAGACACCGTTTAATCCATTCCTCACATTTCTTAATCACAGAAACCAAACCCTTTAAACGTCTGTTTCATCACTTGTTCAGAGCAGTCCTTACAGTCTCCTGCAGCAGCTGAGATAAACACGCCTTTGTGTTCCTGTTGAGCAACAAGCAGCTGATGTCTGCACAGTGCGTGTCCATATCTGAAGCTACAGGGCAGGACCTGTCAGTACAAAGGTCTCATGATCCGTCCGTGCAGACAGCAAGCGTCCTGATGCTCTAACAGGAGATGGATGATGGGAATACTCGTTGTCATGGAGATGTTGGTTACCCCAGCTCCTTGTTACCGGGCTGCAGGCTGCACCCTGAAGAGGAGCTCTAACTCACTTCAGTGACTCGTTACCTCACAGACATTTATCAACTCTCTGCTGCTCTGCCCTAGATTAGAAAAGCTTAAATAAGACATGTGACTCAGGAGTAATGTGGCCGGCGGAGTAATTAACAGATCAGGTTCAAGCACATGTTAAAACCTGGGATTAATAAACGCTCTCAATGCTATCAGTCCAGAGAGATGAATGTTTTCAGTCTGTGTTCAACGTGTAGCGTTCTTATCTGATCCTACTTACTAAGCTGTGTCCATTGTTTCTCTGTTCTGCAGCATCTCCACGGCTGCCTTATTAATAACAGGGAGAAGCTAATCGTGCTAAAGCCGGCTAGCATGGTGGTTCGGAGCAACGGGTGAAATCTGGAGAAGGAAACAGAGGATGCTGGGTAAACTGAAAGAGAGGAAGGAGGAGAGCTAGGTCCAGATCTATGGAGAGAATCAGATACAAGCCGACCCCACTTCCTCCTCTCATCACGGACAACGTAAGATCACTGGCTAACGGACGAGCTAGGCGTTAGCTAGGAGTATCTGTGGTGTAGTTTAAAGAGTTTTACAGGAACATGGCTGCTCCTTTCATTCATCAAGGCTTCCTTCAGGTCGACAAAGAAGACCCCGACATCTCCTCCATGAGTCTTTTAGCCGAGAACGCTGTCTCACACACAGGTCTCACACACAGGTCTCACACACAGGTCTCACACACAGGTCTCACACACAGGTCTCACACACAGGTCTCACACACAAGTCTCACACACAAGTCTCACACACAAGTCTCACACACAGGTCTCACACACAGGTCTCACACACAAGTCTCACACACAAGTCTCACACACAAGTCTCACACACAAGTCTCACACACAGGTCTCACACACACAGGTCTCACACACAGGTCTCACACACAAGTCTCACACACAGGTCTCACACACAGGTCTCACACACAGGTCTCACACACAGGTCTCACACACAAGTCTCACACACAGGTCTCACACACAGGTCTCACACACAAGTCTCACACACAAGTCTCACACACAAGTCTCACACACAGGTCTCACACACACAGGTCTCACACACAGGTCTCACACACAGGTCTCACACACAAGTCTCACACACAGGTCTCACACACAGGTCTCACACACAGGTCTCACACACAGGTCTCACACACAAGTCTCACACACAAGTCTCACACACAAGTCTCACACACAGGTCTCACACACAGGTCTCACACACAAGTCTCACACACAAGTCTCACACACAAGTCTCACACACAAGTCTCACACACAGGTCTCACACACACAGGTCTCACACACAGGTCTCACACACAAGTCTCACACACAAGTCTCACACACAGGTCTCACACACAGGTCTCACACACAGGTCTCACACACAGGTCTCACACACAAGTCTCACACACAGGTCTCACACACAGGTCTCACACACAGGTCTCACACACAGGTCTCACACACAGGTCTCACACACAAGTCTCACACACAAGTCTCACACACAGGTCTCACACACAGGTCTCACACACAGGTCTCACACACAGGTCTCACACACACAGGTCTCACACACAGGTCTCACACACAAGTCTCACACACAGGTCTCACACACAGGTCTCACACACAAGTCTCACACACAAGTCTCACACACAAGTCTCACACACAAGTCTCACACACAGGTCTCACACACACAGGTCTCACACACAGGTCTCACACACAAGTCTCACACACAAGTCTCACACACAGGTCTCACACACAGGTCTCACACACAGGTCTCACACACAGGTCTCACACACAGGTCTCACACACAGGTCTCACACACAGGTCTCACACACAGGTCTCACACACAAGTCTCACACACAAGTCTCACACACAGGTCTCACACACAGGTCTCACACACAGGTCTCACACACAGGTCTCACACACAGGTCTCACACACAAGTCTCACACACAGGTCTCACACACAAGTCTCACACACAGGTCTCACACACAGGTCTCACACACAAGTCTCACACACAGGTCTCACACACAAGTCTCACACACAGGTCTCACACACAAGTCTCACACACACAGGTCTCACACACAGGTCTCACACACAGGTCTCACACACAAGTCTCACACACAGGTCTCACACACAGGTCTCACACACAAGTCTCACACACAAGTCTCACACACAAGTCTCACACACAGGTCTCACACACACAGGTCTCACACACAAGTCTCACACACAAGTCTCACACACAAGTCTCACACACAGGTCTCACACACAGGTCTCACACACAGGTCTCACACACAGGTCTCACACACACAGGTCTCACACACAAGTCTCACACACAAGTCTCACACACACAGGTCTCACACACAGGTCTCACACACAAGTCTCACACACAGGTCTCACACACACAGGTCTCACACACAGGTCTCACACACAAGTCTCACACACAGGTCTCACACACAGGTCTCACACACAGGTCTCACACACAAGTCTCACACACAAGTCTCACACCTGAACATCAGCAGGAGAGGACTCTTTAAAGTAGAGACACTACATACTGATATACACCTGAACATCAGCAGGAGAGGACTCTTTAAAGTAGAGACACTACATACTGATATACACCTGAACATCAGCAGGAGAGGACTCTTTAAAGTAGAGACACTACATACTGATATACACCTGAACATCAGCAAGAGAGGACTCTTTAAAGTAGAGACACTACATACTGATATACACCTGAACATCAGCAGGAGAGGACTCTTTAAAGTAGAGACACTACATACTGATATACACCTGAACATCAGCAGGAGAGGACTCTTTAAAGTAGAGACACTACATACTGATATACACCTGAACATCAGCAGGAGAGGACTCTTTAAAGTAGAGACACTACATACTGATATACACCTGAACATCATCAGGAGAGGACTCTTTAAAGCACTCACTGGGGATCTGCTGGATCTTGTGAACCACCACGAAGGCGTCCGATAGGCCCACTTTCACCGGATGATTGACAGAACTGATCAGGGACAAGTCGACAGGAACCTGAAAGAGAAGAGGAGGAAATCAATTACCAGAAACACAGAGATCTGTCTGAAAGAGACATCCGTCTGACAGCTCTGACAAATCTACCATTACTGACTCCTATACGAGGCGATATGCAACGGATTGCTGAAGCCTGGAAAAGATGGTTTCATTAGAACTTGTTTTAAAACGTTTTTGTAGTAAAGGTGTAAAAAATAAAAACGTAATTCATTCTTTTAGACTGATAAATGGTGTCAGATAAAATAAAGAATACATACTAAAATACAGAAAAATGACATAAAAAAAAGACAGAAATAAATGACCTCTGACCTCTTTGTATGCGAACACGATCCTGCCGGTGTTGTGAAGCGTCGCCTGGAAGGTGAAGCTGCCCAGGTTGTAGTTGTCCTGCAGGTGGACGTGATCCCACTGAACCACCAGAGCAGTACCTGAAGAACACACACACACACACACACACACACACACACACACACACACACACACACACACACACACACACACACACACACACACACACACACACACACACACACACACACACACACACACACACACACACACACACACACACACACACACACACACACACACACACACACACACACAGGTGAGGTGAAGGCAGTGTCTCATTACGAAATCTTTGATAACCTCCGTTTCAAATACCATCTCTACTAGTGTGTGTGTGTGCGTGTGCGTGTGTGTGTGTGTGTGTGGCCATGTGTGTGTGAGGCCATGTGTGTGTGAGGCCATGTGTGTGTAATAGGGGGTGTAACAACAGAGTAACAACAGAGTAATGTGGGTGCATTAATGTGTAAAATGGGTGTAATGTAGAAAATAGCAATCAATAAATGTTCCTAAATACTCAATGCTCATTTAGGGGTTCCACATGGACCCACAGACAGATCCTGGTTCAGTTGTTCCACACAGACACAGCAGCATGCTCCTTAAAGCCCTCTGAATAACTGAGAGAAAGCTGGCAGACGATCAGCAGACAGTTTGATTAAGAGAGGACTTTAGACGTATCGAGCGCTCGTCGTCTGGCTGTTTGCCCGATCAATAAAGGTTTGTTTACACCACTAATCCATTATTACGTCACAGTCTGAGCTACGGGAAACCCCCGTGTCACAAATCACCTGGAGTACAGACGCCTCAGGTATCAGAGTTAAAGAAGGAGGTTAGAAAGATTCATTCCATAAATCTAGATCTTTCTGTTTTCTAGACATTTTGCACTAAAAGCTTTTGTTTGTTTATTGTTAGAAAAGTTCAGAGTTCCTTTGCTTTGGTCCTTTCTGATCTCTCTGATCTCTTTCTGATCTCTCTCTGATCTCTCTCTGATCTCTCTCTGATCTCTTTCTGATCTCTTACTGATCTCTCTCTGATCTCTCTCTGATCTCTTTCTGATCTCTCTCTGATCTCTCACTGATCTCTCTCTGATCTCTCTCTGATCTCTTTCTGATCTCTCTCTGATCTCTCACTGATCTCTCTCTGATCTCTCTCTGATCTCTCTCTGATCTCTCTCTGATCTCTCTCTGATCTCTTTCTGATCTCTCTCTGATCTCTCTCTGATCTCTCTCTGATCTCTCTCTGATCTCTTTCTGATCTCTTACTGATCTCTCTCTGATCTCTTTCTGATCTCTCTCTGATCTCTCTCTGATCTCTCTCTGATCTCTCACTGATCTCTCTCTGATCTCTCTCTGATCTCTCACTGATCTCTCTCTGATCTCTCTCTGATATCTCTCTGATATCTCTCTGATCTCTTTCTGATCTCTTACTGATCTCTCTCTGATCTCTCACTGATCTCTCACTGATCTCTCTCTGATCTCTCTCTGATCTCTCTCTG